CCATGTTGCTATCAGGTGTTTCACACCTCAGCTCCTGCCAGGGCTGTTTGTGAAGTTCTCCAGTGTCACTGAAGTTCTTCACTGTCAGGAACTGAAGGGCATTCATGGGCTCTGCCCTACTTTTTTTCGGGGGAAAAACCCTGAGAATGCTGAGCTGGGTTTTGTGCTGCAAAGCCAGTGCTTTCCCACAACAACTGCTTTCATTTCTTACACAACCCCAACAGCTTAAGCTCTTACTCCATCAATAATCTGGCATGGAATTGGGCAATTCCCAGCACACACATAACTAGAAATTATTCCAAATGCAGAAACCAACTGCTAAAACGCAGAATATCCACAGGTTTTCAAGGCTTATTCCCTCAGAGCACACAGGGAGAGCATACATGAGCTTCCCCTGCTCTTCCCTGCCCTCCCAAACTGCTCAATGCCCCAAAATCCACCTGGACAGAGCAGCCTCCAGCCACACTCCCTGTAACCAAGGTCACACTGGCTCAGCACCACAAACGCTCCCAGAGATGCCAAATTTTTAATCACTTAGAGCCTCCATGGTTCTGTTTTCTCTCAAGCTGGCATAGGGTGGGATAATTAACACTCTCCATCGCTGCTCCTCCAGCTCCCACTGCTCCAGGATGAGCTGAAYTGAAGAATTTTTGCTCCACTGCCATTAAACTCAAAAGTGTCACACGACAAACCCAACGGTGCCGGAGTTGTGTGGCACAGGGGGAGGGAGCAGGAGGGACAGGGATGGCCCAGGGGTTGTCTGGGATGCACAAGCAGCAACCTCAACCCATGTTCCAGCTCCCTCCGGCACCTGAACAGCACAGCTTAGACAGGAATGGGCCCGGGATTCCAGAAGAGACCGATCCTGCGCTGCAAAGCGACCGTGAACCCCAAATCCCAACCCTGCCCTACACAAATGGCACGCCGGGGACAAGACACGTGCAAACCGGACCGTGGTCACCGAGACTTCCAGGGGCCAGAGTGCCCCCGAGACCCCGCTATGAGCCAGCCAGCCTCGGGGCTGGACCATCCCCACAGCCGGCCCTTGGGGACTGACACCCCCCGCTCTCGGGGGTCGGACCCCCAGATCCTCCGCCCAGCCCCTCCCAAAGGCAGCAACCCCGGGAAGAACCGATACCCGCAGGCCCCAGCCCCCTCCGCCTGAGCCCCCCAGCCCAGAGCCCCTCAGCAGCGCCCCAAGGCCCGGAGCTCCCTCCGAGCCCCCTCAGCTTCCCCTGCCCCGCCAAGGCCCGGAGCCCCTCTCAGCCCCCTCCTCAGTCCCCCGCCCCTCCAGCCCCTCCTCCCCCGCGAGACAGAGCCCATCCCCGCCCCTCAGGCCCGTCCCCCGTTCCCGGATTTGCCCTTTTCCCCTCACCATGAACGGCGCCGCAGCCCCTCGGACCGAGCGAGCGGGAGCGCCGGGCGGGGAACTTCCGCCCCTGCCGCACTTCCGGCCCCGCCCGGGTGCGCCCCCCAAACGCGTCCGATGTCCCCCCCCCCCCACCGGCCGCTGCCGCGCCGCGCTGCCGGCTCACGGGCTGGGCCCGCCCCGGTTTGGCCCGGTTCGGTTTGGCTCGGCTCGGCCCGGTCCTCCCGGTATCAGCGGGACGCGGTGCTGGCTGTTCTCCCTGCACCCAGGCGGTGAGCGAGCGGGCGGAACGGCAGCGGCGGGCCGGGTTGGCGGTCGGACGCGCGGCGCGAACACGGGTGCGAGGAGGGGGCTGCGGCCGCAGCCTGGGCGGGGGAACCGGGGAGAACCGGGGGAGAACCGGGGGGAACCGGGGCCGCTCGGCCCGGCCCGCCCGGCCCGGTGTCCGCCGGCACGAGGGTGAGCGCCGGGGGGCTGCGGGGGGGCTGCCGGCAGCGCCTGGGCCCGGCGGGGTGAGCGGCGCGGTGGGAGCTTGGGCCCGGAGGGGCTGGGAGTGAGAGCGGGGTCTGTGAGAGGGACTGAGGGGGCTGTGAGAGGAAATGAGGGGGCTGTGAGAGGAAATGAGGGGGCTGTGAGAGGGGCTGAGGGGGCTGTGAGTCTGCTTTTCTCGTCTGTTGTGCGAGTCTAGGGAGGTGCAGCCCTGCTCAGGGGCTCTGTGAGAGCGGCTGAAGGAGCTGTCTGTCTGCTTTTCTCGTGGCTTGTGCGAGTCTCGGGAGGTGCAGCCCTGCTCAGGGGCTGTGAGTGGCTC